GTCTAATTTATTATATCAATTTACGGACCTGATTTGTACTCATGAACTTATCTTTGAAATAAGAACACTGACTTTACAATCCAATGTGTGTGAAAAAAGAGCTTTTAATTAGTTTGTACTACTTCACTCTCACAATGTGGACTGATTTCTATTTAGAACTTGAAAATGATGTCACAGCCAGAATTGACTAATAAATTAACTTTATCCCCTCCAATACTTTTCCAGAATCTGAGGTTGACCTTCTGACGTGTTTCATTATACTGCTTTATTATTGTATTGGTGTTGGCGAAGATTTAAACATGTAAAAATTCTGACCCTTTTCATTTTGCATATCTCTTATTTCTCCCCACACTATGTATACTTCACTCAGGAGAGAGAATAGTCTTGTATTGGAGTCTAATCTTTACTTTACTGAAAAGGTACAACACAAATCTTTCCCACAACCAGAGGCCAAGATTCCTCAAGCATGAAAACAAGTTGAGAACAATCTATTCTTTTCCCCTCGGACAGAATAATCACTGAGTCTCTGAGCTATTCATTTGTACAGCTAGAAGCCCGAAGCTACCTCCAGTTACAACGTCTGCCACAAAACCACTTTTAAAGAAATCCTGGAATTATTAACGATGAAGTCTAATTGTAGTCCAAAGCCATTGTTTTTTTATTAGCGTTGGCAGGATGTTAAGAAAATTGTGCTTTTATATATATATTTTTGGCAAAGTCCTTGAAAACAGAAAACCATAGAAGAGTCCCTCTAAACAAAGCCTGGTGAAGGGGCTGGTAGTTATTAACTCGACCCTTAGTTCTGAATTACAGCTATTTTTATCCCTCTGTTTATAAAGCAAAGCTGGGCTGTGCAATGGACTTGCCAGCGAGGGGAGGAGTGCTTTTAAGGACATACATTAATTATACAACCTTAAACTAAATGGTTTATTACTTGTTTGAATGCACGGGAGGTAGCAGCCATGATGGAAAATTTCATTCTCTCTGCAAGCTCTCATGCCTTTCTCATGTACCAGTTTGGACAAGGAGGGAATGAACTGAACAGTTTCAATCTCATAGGTTGGACTACAGCGAGTTTCATTCCCGGATCCCACAAAACGTTTGACAACTGGTACAAACTTAGTTCACCTCTGTTGATTAGTCTGAAGAACAACGTACAAAGCCATGGAAAAAGAAAAGTGTTAGTGTAGCTGGATAGAAACTGGCAACTTAACCCATCTAGCAGATAAGTTAAAAATTAACTTTTGCTCAAGTGCTCAAGTGTAGCACTTTATCAAGTTCAATATCTAAGAAAGCGGGACTTCCAAAGTAGTAAAACGACTCAAATGTCTTTAAAACTTTGAGAAAACAGGAAATTATAAACCCAAAATATACCAAACAGCTTTGGAAGTAAAGTCTTTACTTTTTCACCGAACACACAGACCTACCTAAGATCTGTGCTGTTTTAAAACTCGAAGACCAGTTCCTTCAATAGCATTGTTTGTCTCAGGACTGCGCCGTGTTACATTGTGACAGATTCACTAAAGTTCAAGTGATACAGATCAAGGGATATCTAGTGAGCCAGTAAAACCTGTAGATGATGAAACTGCAGGAGGTACTGTAACTGCTGCGCCTATGTGCTGCTGCCCAACCAAACACAAAATGTCCAAAACGGACATTAAAGTGAACAGACTGTCAAAAGAAATTTACTGCACAACAAACAAAAATGGTAAAAAAAAAATAAGCCTGACGCTAATACGAGTATAAAGAAACCAAACAAACATCAAAGATCATGACTAGTTTCGGCTAGAAAAACTATCTTGATGTTTTGCAGTAGACCTATAGCAGACACTACACAAGCAAATACAAACAAAATACAGATTTTGAACCAGAATAAGCCGAGGCATTTTCTTTCTCCTGAAAGCCAGTGTGTATTTCTCTTATAGCTTTATGAATCTTTTGTTGCCTTTATTTGCAGAATTTGAGCAAAATCTTCACACCACATTGGCTGCGAAGAAAGAGAAAATACAAGTATATATAAACATAAAATTTAACTCCAAAGTGTTACTAAAAGTGAAACTGTGTTAGATATTGCAAGATAGTAACAAGACTGTGACACAGGAGTCTTATTTAGTATGTGACTGTATGGGCTGTTACAATAATTAAAGTTACATTCTTTAGGAGAAAAAAAAACAAAGGTTTGCTCTTTGGCTCAGGGCAGGGGTCAGCCTGTGATGGCTGGACAGACAAGTTCTCTGCTCCCAGAGTCTGTGTGTTCTGACAACACAAGGTCATTAATTGCTGCCTGTTTACATGAGGTCTCCAGTCTTCTTTCCATCAAGCTATGGCTGTTGTTCTAAATCTGCATTCAAGTACAATAAGCCCTCATTCCCCTATAATTTTCCCCAGCAGGGCCTATGCCTGTGTACAGAATCGCTCCCCATGGCTGTAAAGACTGCCATTGGCTTTTATTGGTCAGGATACTATTGGGTTCAGGGTTGTCTCAGTGGATTGCCATTGATCCAGACCCATAAAAAAGGATAAGAAGGGCTTTAGTTTCTTTTATTTTTAGTCTGTGTTTGTTTCGATACCAGGGACACTGGTGGTTTATGACGCCATTATCACATGCATCTATAAACAGGATAATGGTAGACATGTCCAACTGGAGATAGTGTTTTTCTTATAGGGAAAAAACAAGATCATGGAATTAACACCTCACAGTATATTTATTCTTTACGCTTCCTCTCAATGAAAGAAAAACCTTGTTTAACATCTGTTGAACAGCCCCCATTCAAAACTAAATTCTGCTCCAAAACCCACCACCCATCTTTCCAAATTACACTGCAGCATGCTTTACACTGGTTCTAGAAATTAAGTTTCTGAAGTAGATTACATTATTGCCAACCAATCCATTTCATTACGTTTTTCCAGAAGCCTAGACTGTTAATGGATTGGAAAACGCGGAATTAAACCCTATATACCACAACGCAGAATCAGACCACCCCACTGTCACCAGCCAGTACTATGGACACCCAATGTCCCCAAGAGTATGAATTGGTCTACTTGACTATGTTCACCATTTCCATTAATACCCAGTCACTCGAGAACTGTCCCATTGTTTGACATTAATTTCTCTGCCGCCCTGCTGAAAATGCAGAGCTTTCAGTCCTGATACTGTACAGAGGAAGATTAATGGCAGGGGGTGAAATGTCATTGCTGGCAGCACATGGTTAGCATTCCATGTCCCGTTCTGTGGAACTCTGTCAGCATGCTCCACTACTGTAAACACTCCTTCGGCCTTTAGTGACACCCGCATCCAGCGGCAAACTGGAAATGAGGGACTGGGAACAAAGGGATCAGATCACTCCTGGCTAGAACAGACCCTCAGATGACAAACCCATTGAAGGCACATTTGGTTTTCAACAAGCAAGAGCATACAGCTACCATGCATGAGGTACAGCCCAAAACAGCACATCTCTACCAGAGGCGAAACAGGCATGTCATTATAAATCCCAAGGTTCACAGGCAGCAGACAGATTATTTTTTTAAATAAAAATATCTTAAACCAAATACATCTCAATCAGAATTGAAAGAAAAAAAAAGGGATGTTGAGATCATTCCCCAGGATATATTTTATAAGGTGCAACTGTAGCTTCAAGAGCTAAAAAGTAAGAAAACAAGTATAATGAATATAAATAGTACACAGAGTTTATATCAAGGCCAAATGCTTCAAACATTTAGGCACCCTTGTCCAAAACACAGAACCAGAGACACACACCAGGAGAGTGTGGCACTGTTTGGGTTAACACTCAGCTGGTAAACATTCACAGCAAACAACTTTTAAACAAGCCTAGATTTTGTAAGGTGTTATTTAAAGAAGATCATGTAACACGTAGACTAACTGCTGCCTAATAACTCAGAGACCCACCGCCTGCATCAGGAAGCTATTTGCATTTTTTTCAGACTGTGAATTAATACACATGCAGCTTTGATAAAACATGAATACAGTGTAACACAGCTAAGATAATGAATAGATATGCCACACAATATGGCAACAAAAGACAGACAGAGGGGGATCAAGCCAGAGAGAGAGGGACTGAAAATAAATGCATGAAGGGAAAAAAAACTGATTGCCAATCTTGTAAAAAGACAACATTCTTTAAATAAACAACATTTAAAGTTGGAAACTGTATGTATCATTTACATCTGCAGTAAATAAACAGAAGAGCTATGATTGATTACCATTAAAAACGTTGGCCACTGGCTGAGCCAAAGCTCTGAAGCTGAGACAATACTGCCACCTAATGCCAACATGCAGTACACTTCCATCCTAAATACACCAGCAGGAACGGTAAAACTTTCCATTGACCATTGCTGTTCTTGGAAAGTCATCACCTCTGCAAACTCATTCAACACTATTTGAAATTACTATTACAACTTTAGTATATGCAGCAATCATAATCTCAATGCAGGTTATGGAAAAAAATTAGTTCAAGGGGAAGACAAATGAAGTGTGCAGATTCCTAGTCAAAATACCTTTGAAGTTTCACTAGAACAGGCAAAACACAAATCTTTAATCTAAATAAAAAGGGTAGATGGTGAATTCAGATTTTTGTTACTATAACTTTGAAGTGTGGGCAATTACAACTCATTTGCTTTCTCTTTTACTCTTTGTTGAGCATTTGCCTTGTGATATTCAAAATCACATTTTGGCAGATCACCTCCTCCGGGGCTTCTGTCCATAGCTGACTTCCTGAAACAACTGATCAGGGTTATGGGAGAGATGGGGAGGTTAATGTGCTCTGAGAACACCAATGTTCCTTTCCCTTTCAAACCCTGTTATTAGATGTTTACAGACATCATTCAAAACACACAACCTGTTCACAACATAGCTAACAACACATGCTGACACACACATCAAAGAGATGCTCTAGAACACTGGACTCTTTCCTGAAGAAAAAGAGCATTGGGACAGAGGTTGAGGGTTCAAGGTTTGAAAGATAATCTAGAAAGAGTCTGACCTGTTCTTCCTCGAGTTCTCATCTTTTCCTTTCTTCACTCCAAATATTCTGGTTATCAGAGTGCTGAAGAGAAGCGTAGAGGAATTCCTTACCTAGAGTGACAAAGTGAAAAAAAAAGTTTAGCCTCTTTGCACTTCTGAAGATCCCTTGCTAGAACTGTGCTAGAATTGCTCTAAGCAGTAAGTGCACATTCTTTTCATTGCCCTTCAACAGCAGATATCCTTGAATTTACAAATCACCTGCTAAAAGTCAACACACAAGCCTCACTGGCACAATCACTGTTACAGAATGAAAGTCAATAGATCCACGCGGTGAGATTAAAGGTACTGTGATGTCTAGGCCATCTCTTTAGGTACAGGAAGTTCTGTCCTAGTGCTGTCTGCTCCTTATGGCATAAAGAAAGGAAAGTTGAAAAAGAACAGAGAAAAGATACCAGGCAGAGAGTTCATAGATGCAGGTGAATAACCTATAGGAAACTGCAAAGCTTTATCTCCAACTACTGCCCAAAAAAACACCAAAGTGTCTATCAGTGTCTACTTTTTCCAAGTTTCTATTACATTCCCTGATTTTCTTATGAGATATGATATGAATCTTTGGGTTGAAGTGACAGCATCCAACAATTAGATCAAAATGTGGATTGAACAGTACTACAAAAATGCTCAGACTAAAATAAAATCTTTTTTTTATCAGTTATCTTCCCCAGCTGGATGCAGGGCTGTGTTCTCCACAACCAGACAGTCTCTGATCTTTTGCTAGTGGGGCGCAGTGTTCTTCTGCATGTAGAGAGCAGAGGGTGATTCTGTTGTCATCTAGAGGTTGAGGGGATCTCTTCCTTGGTTGTGCCATCAAGGCATCAGGCAAGAAAGAGTCTTTGTTTAATCTGGCAACAGAAACACGACTGTCAGCTGAACTGGGCAGAGGATAAACACTAAAGCACAGTAACCGAGAAAATACACTGTGGTCAAGAGGATGACTTTGCCTTCACAGATTTCCTTTTAATTTAAGTAATATACACATAGATTTCTCAAGTCACCTACAATGCTTCATTCACATGTTTAGAACAACTCAGTTTATCTACAGTATATACACGTTTTATTAGAAATGGGGATGTTATTTTGGTGGCCACGGATTTAATGAGCACTTATGAGCATGCAATTTTGCATTAAGAAGTATTCAGTCATTATACAGCTGGCACTCCCCTGGTCTCTGTTCCTGTCACTCCTACGTTAGTTAGTCTGAGCTCATAGTGAACTCTGGTCTACAGCATAAAAGAGCCCAGTGATCCTGATTATCTAGCCAGTTTACCAGTTTTCCCAGGAGGCGTTTTTGAGTCTAGATGCAGGGCAGCGTGCATGTCTGTTTATTCCACCACATAGCATGACTACAAATCAGCAAATGTGGTTTAATCGGAGCTGATTTTCAAAGCAAAGTTTAAATGAAACATTCCAAAATAATATACTGTATAAAAACAAATGTTATTCCACGGTAACTGGAGCTTTCTCCGAGTTGTTTAAGGGTTACACCTAGGCCTAAGGACATGGGGATGTGCCTAATTAAGATGGGGTGTGGCTGATTAAGCTCCCAGTGAGGGCCAGTTCACATTACATAAGAGCTGGATAATTAATTGCCTGCAAATTTTCCATTCAGTACTTTGGAAGCTGCCAGTTCTGAATGGAAAAAATGCTGGTATTAACTGCTCATACTGTCCTTCTGCTGTGCAGCTTCTGTGATTACTACTTACAGTTCTTTACATGGGCATTCGTTGTTTTGGATATCTACAACTGAAAGGCA